TGTTTTTAAAGCATGTGGATTTTATTTTATTTTTTTTATTTTTGAAGTTTTCCATTGACCGCTGGGAACACACAGCGCTGCGTCTGTACCTCATAACGCTTCCACGGTTTATCTAAACAGAGACGGTCATTTGACAGCACACACAGGTCTCTGGCATCCCACCAATGAGAGCTCTGATCCCTCGGTGACCGCAGGCTTTAAAAGAATATGGAACAAACTGACCTCTGCTTCTTCTGAATCCTGTTTTAGACACTAAAGCATCTCCCAGAGCGACGCAGACTGCTGCTGTAGAATTAGTAGAACATGTTTCTATCTGTCCTGAATGTCACTGAGCCCTCCGTCATTCAGCTGCACCACAGAGACACAGTTATGTTGTCGCCTGTCGCATTTTTAACTCACTGTGGGCTCTTTTTTTTTTACTGCATTATAAAGTTCTGCTCCTCTCTGGAAACAGCACAACTATGACTAGAAGTAGAAAAACCTCAGAAATGTCTTCTATAGAGTGTAACCGAGTTATATCAGAATCAGAACCAGCTTTAATGGCCAAGTACGTACACAACATACAAGGAGTTTGGTTTCGGGTGTTGGTGTCGCCCTGGGAATTTGCAGGAATAATAGAAATAGGAAAATTTAAAAAATAAAATAAAATAACTACAGAAAGAAGAGAATAAGAATGCCATATAATGCCATAAATTATTGTTTTCCAGACTCATCTCACGTCTACCGTCCTGCAGTTCAGCCGAAACAATCCATACATTTTCACCACATGGCTGTTGGTCGTTCTGGTCGGACTGAACAGCACAGAACTTTTTATGTTTAATTGAATTTGGTTCCTACAAACTATTTATTTTTGCAGAATTTTTTAAAACGTCACCTTTACAATAAAACGACTTTAATGAAATATTTTAAGCTTCAATTTTACCTAAAGAGCAGTTTGAGGACTGTCTGAAGGATGATGTAATGTAATTGTTCTTGTTGTCTTTACAGTCATTTTGGCTATTGAATTAAAAAACAACATATCTGTGAAAACCCCTGGTGGGTAAAGGGTTCCTGGCGTTAACGCTCGTAGCTCACTGTTACATTTATTCACTCTCTACCACTGACTGCCTTTACTTTTATATCTTCTTTTACAAATTCTACACTGTCAGAGTCTATTGATGCCTCCAACATCTTTATCGTCACATTTTCTAAACGCATCCTTGGATCAGCATCTTTCAATTGTGTTATTTTCAAAAGACATAAAAAAAAAACCCTCCCCCCATAACTCCTGTTTGAAATGTCAGCTCTCTCCCTACAGTACGCGTGATTTCTTCTGCCGAGGTGCAGCTCCTGTGTGTTTAGCAGGTTATTCATGCTCGGTGATGGTGAGTCACTCCAGGAGGAGTGGAGGAGCATGAGTGGGTTCTTTGATGTTTGCAGGTCGACTTCAGAACGCTGGAGACCTGCTGCTGCACTCTGCAGGCTGCACATCACAGACGGAGCCGCTGCCGGTATTATAGTCTGACGTGAACAATCCCAACTGTTCTTTCTTAACATACGTGATTAAAACGGAGTTTCTGGAGTTGTTCAGACGGCCTTTGTTAACACTTTTCAGCACGTCACAGCTGGAGTTCTGTTCCTATCCAGCCAACCTTATTCTCCAGGAGTCTGTCATTAAGAGACTTTAGACTTAAAGGTGGAGTCGGCGGTTTTAATTCAACACAGTTTTAGTGAAATCCAGTGAATGTGGAGTTCACACACAGTCCTGCGTCTGGATCGATCCACACGACAGGACCTCATGCATGGGAGTGAGAGGGACGCTAAATGTGGCTCATGCTAGCTGTAAGTATTTGATATCGAGCTAGAAAACCTACAGAGTCACAGACCCCACCTTTATGTCAGACTCTTGTCAAAAATAAAGACCTGACACCAAACTTCCTCGAAACCTTGAAGACTGTGTTGAGGTCTGAAAGAAAAAGACTCGTCCCTTTAAAGATAAGACGAGATAAAACTTTATTGATCCAGGAGGAAATTCTCAAACAGGCAGAGCCTCGTGAAAAAACAACAAGAAATAAAATAAATAAGCTAAAATTAGACTGGAGTAGGAAAATAAAAACTCCCTCTTGCTCACATTTTAAACACACAGAGAGCTCCTCTGGTTGCAGCTGATTAAAGATAATAAATAAAGATAAGATGTTAACTGATTGCTTCAGAAGGACTTGAAACTAAATTAATGTTAAAGTTCTGACCTCAGCAGAGACAGCGTCGCCTCCCAGCTGTACAACTCAGAGATGTTTTAATGATGCAGATTAGAAGAACTTGTGAGAAACTGTTTTGACAGAAACACGTTTTGTTTCTCGTCTCCGATGACTCCAGGTGGTTCCAGACTTACGCTGGACCAACGCCAGATGATGCGATTTGAAACTTTCGCTAACAGACTTAATTAACTCCAACTTGTTTGAAATAACTTGAGACTTGACTTGGACTCGTGCTGACTGACCTGAAATCACTTGGGCTTGTCTTAAATGTCTTGAGAGCTGCTCTGACAGACCTGAGATTGACATGAAATAGCCTCAGATAACCCGAGACGACGTGAGACTCGACTTGGACCTGTTACAAACAATCAGAGACTCGACTTGTTTCAAAGGTCTTGTGCGTTGACTCGAAACAGATTTCTTCTTTTTTAAACATCCACTGAGTTTTTCTTCATTTCACATGTTTGACGTTTCCTTTTGTTGCAGACTGACTTCTCTCTTATCTTGGACTTGACATTAAGGGACGAGCGTGTTGGCAAAAATAAATGCAAATTGGACTGAGTATGTTCTTGGCAGCCGCCGCCGTCGTCATGCGGCTCCTCTTTGTGAGTCTGAGCTCACTGTGCCCCCTTGTGGGCGGAGCCTGTCGTCAGCAAATGGCAGCGTGTGGCTGAAGATACAGATGTGATCCATCATCATCCGCTGACTGAGATGAATGATGACCGCTGGCTGGCACCGTCTGCTGTCACCTCATTGACAGGCCCAGCCATGACTCCTCGTTACGGCCCGTTTGCTGGATGCCGCTCCGCCGGTGGCATCGGCTTTTCTAGCTTTGCCACCAACATTGTTTCCGGTTTCTAAACCGGGACGGTCAGAGGCATAAAGAGATTTCCTGGCTTTCAAAGAGGGAGGGTCGATTAAAAATGCATGCGGGTGCTTTTTGTCATTACGGAGCCATCAGTGGCTGCAGGTCGACAATACAATTTCACATCATGGAAATGAATTAGGCTGGCCTCATTCATTATGCATGCCCGTTGGTTTCTTGTTCAGGATGGCCATTGTGTCATTTCTAAATAGATGAAAGCCAGGTAGGGCCGCAGATAACCCGCTAGTGTATTTCGGGATGTAAAACATTTGTTCTGCTGTCTGGCAGAAGCCTCTCGGTTCTTATCTGAGCCTCTGCGGGTCGAGCCCTCGTCTACATTAGCAGTGGCTTTAAAAGGGGAAATTAGGACACTGGTTTCACAGCAGCGTTAACGAGCTGCGGTGCTTTTTGACTTAGAAATATCAATCGATGCTGCTGTACAATCAGCATTAATGGATCCAGAACGTGGGTGTTTTCTAACCCAAAGAGCAGAAAACTGGTTCTGTAAGTGTGCACGGCCAAATGTGGAAAACTCATGAACGGGCTTCTGGTTGCTTCTGATGCTGCTGGGTTAAAAAATAAAAGGTATGATAGGTAACAGACTCTGTCCTCCATGTCTAATGATCATCCACCTTCTCCTCCTGGTAGTCATCCTGACAGCAGCCCCTTTATTGTGGCTTTTCTATGTGCAGATGAGACAAAGCAGCTTCTCCTTTGAACGTCTCGGCTGATTCCAGGTTTAATTGTTTGTATTTACAGTTTAGTCTTAATCTGACATTGATTAAGTTTCACCTGAGCTCTCCCTAAGCTGCTCCTGCTCTGCTCCTCCTGAACTTCTCATGGTTTTTTCTTAACCTGATGCCTCCCAGTCTGCCCAGTCTGCACCCAGGCGTCCGTCTATCCAGCAGCATCTCCCTCCTCTGCAGAGCGACAGAGTTAAAGCAATGCCCTGGTGTTTTTTTATTTCATTATGCTGCTCGACTGCGACCACCGAGGCTCCGGGCTCAGCTGCATCCTTCCCTTGTTTGTGTCTGTGGAAGCTGAAGCCACGTTCTGTCACCTCGCCCACTCTTCCTCCGCCGCCGGTTTGCATGATGCGCCGAGCTCCTGTGTGTTTATTTACACTGTCAGATATACAGCAGCCGATGAGTGTGTTCGTGACACTGCCGTTCAAACCTGCGACTCTTTCTTTTGGTTTATATAACACAATTACAACGGGCTTGACGAGATGTATCAAGGTCCGCCGATGCTCGTTAATAGCTGCTTGCCACAAACCTTGAAAAACACTCGTTAGTTTGCTGCGTTTGCTCCTTTGTTCACGTTGTGCTGATTGTCTAACAGATTATAGAGTTATTGTCGCTGCTGATCTGTTTGTCGGGTGTTCGTTTAATCAGTTCGTCTGTAAAGTGTGAGAAAAATGTTTTCTGGATGTTAAATCCCTAAATGTCTTGTTTGACTCTTAGTCTGAAGATATTCAGTTTGGAGAGAAAAAAAGTCAGATTCAGAAGCTACAAGAGAATTTTTTATCTGATAAAAACTGAATGTCAGAGATGCTTCTCAGACTTTTAAATGCAGGTTATTTTATTTGATCTGTTGTGTGAAACGTTACTTAATTTTGCACCATGAAGAATATTTCTGTAATCAAAAGTAGCCTCGCCAAACGGAGAGAAGTTCGTTTAATATATTCTCTTAAGCTCCTGCTCAAAGCATTTTAAGTGTAAGAATAAATTTGTGTTGCCTGAAAAATAGGTCGACAGTCTGGTGTCCTGCTTTTCCAATTCCCCAAAGCATCCAAAGATTAAACATCTACTGTCTGGTTCTGAACCGTTTCTGTGTGTTAAAGTTTGTTCTGGATGATTTAGTGCTCCACATGATGTTTGTTTTTTTCTTCTTTTTTCCAGGTGGTGCTCGTGTTCGCGCTCAGCATCGGAGCCCTCGTCATTTACTTCATAGATTCGTCTGAGTAAGTATTCGATCGTCACACTTCATGAGATCAGATCTACTCTTCAGATGTAGCTAGAAGACCAACCAGAGCAGGTCTGAAGATGGATGAAGCTGAGAAAGTTAACAGAACAATCAAGATGTCTTCCCTCTAAGTCCATTCAGCTTTTCCTGCCATCTGAGCCGTTTGGCACCAGAGCAGCTTTTTAAACCATTTAAACCATTTAAACCATTTGAACCATTTCTCAGAGCCAGAAGGTTATTAGATTCTCAACATCTGACCTGAAGGTGTACAATATGGAGAATTTAACCAAATCGAAGCCTAAAATTTTGCCAAAATTAAACCTTTTGCACCAACGAGATGCTGAAAAAACCAAAGACGTCCTCTTATTAGTGCCACAGTGACGCATTAATGACACCGCTGTTAGCAGCAGTCATGTGACGACGATTCTGGGATGTTTCTGCTGAACTGCAGGCTGTGTCCAAGCAGAACCATCATAGATCTAAGTATTAAAAATACAAACAAAAAATCTACAGAATGTACATTTTTTTTCGGTATTGGTTTCACCTGTGGTTGATTTTTTCATTTCTAATAAAATAAATACTAAATAAAATTCAACTCAAAGCATTCTAAGTCAGTTCAGCAGCACAGGAGACATGTTGGAGTTCTCTCTACTTCTTGTGCTGCTTCCATGGAGCTGCAGGAGTTTAAACTGCAGTGAAAAACGATCCTACAGCGAGTAAGATGTGACAAAATAAAAAAAACTGATGGGAACCAGAGGGTTAAATGTTGGCTCTGTGGCAATGAAATAAAACTAAAAATGTACGACTCACGTTTTATCGTCCTGGAGTCACTAAAATGCTGCTGATATGGTTCCAGTTATGGGAAAGCCATAAAGGGTTTAGTACCAACACATATATCCTCACACATGTGTAATGTGTGTGGTGCTGGCCTTATGTGGATGCGTGTTTGCTGTTCTTGATCCGACCCCCTTCCAGGTAAGCTGGTCTGGGTTTCCCAGCAGCTTCTGTGCCTTCAGATGAAATTTGCTTCATCTCGCTAATGAAAGGATCGCTCTTTAAAAGAGGCAGGAAAGTCCAGAGTTCAAAACAATCGCCACCGATCATCAGGACGGAGGAAACGGAAGAGCCTTTCAGCTGCATGTGCGACAGCAGCTCTGGTGCTGTTTGGACAGGAAGCGCCATTAAGAAGTAGAGCAAAATACAGCAGGATGAAAGCCTTTATGACGCCCAGAGGGAGTCCCCGCCGGGAACAGCGTTAAGGCAGAGGAGAGAGAATGGGCTGTAAACCTGAGTAATCAGGCCCACGGTCCTGGAGGCAGGCGTTCAGGTTATTTGTTATTTCATAGGACCGCGTCCAGCCGAGGGCGAGGCCTGCTCTGATGTGGTTTGCGAGCATGATCTCATTTCATTATCTGGACAAGCTCAGGTAGAGTTACAGCCGCACCGATGCCATCTGTGGCTTTGTGTTCTCAGAAGTCGCCTGTAGCGTCGCCCGGTAGCTTTTCATCTGATGGAGGACGACCTCCGCCCTCTCGCTTTAACCTCTTCACACGTAAGGAGGGCTGTTGTTCAACACACAACAGGAACAACGCTGCAGCACCTGTAGAAGCATGTACGCTGTATTCATATTCATGCCACGAGGCTTTTTGTCGTCTCCAGCCTTATCTGGGTCTTTCTATTATTCACACAGTGTTTTTTCACCACCTGTCAGCCCAACAGGCCCGGTACTTAGAGCCAAAGAGCAGCCGGTTAGCTGCGCTCTTGCTCGCTCCTAAGTGGCAGCAGACTGTAACAGATACAGCCCTTCCTGTAATTAGTCCTGTGGGGCTGCCGAGGCTGTTATATGACGGACAGGCTGACCTGACCGGAAGAGAGAGGCATCGACACAGCAGACCCACTTAGACTCAAAGAGGAGCTCCAACCGAGAGCAGATGAAGAAGCCGGTTAGGTCTGCGATGGAGTTTTACTTTAAGTCTTTAGCTGTGTCTTACTTTGTCACCTGTGAGTCAGGATGACACGGACTGCTGTTTCATAAGTGCTGAAACACTGAACAGCTGTGTTGTGATGTTGTGTGTGGTCTTTTTAAGCAGATATTTCTTATCATTAACTTTTATTTCACAGTTCTTTGGACACTCAGACACTTACCAGATAGCTGGCTGCCTCATATTTGTCTTTAACCTGCTGTAAGAGGCTGTTTGTTGGTTAAACAGTCTTTAAACTTGGTCGCCCAAATGGACAACTTTCGGGCAGAATAGTGATGATGCACGACGACACTGGGATCATCATTGTATGGGCTTAAAATTAAATATTGAATAGTGACAATCAAAAACTGATTTGTTTGAAAATTAAACACCTATGACAGGTTTTACATGTATGTTGGAGCAGGTGTCTTATTTTGCAGAGTGCACCTGCCAGTGGGTCACCACAATAAAAGTAGATATAATAATTAGTGATGCACGATATTAGTGTTTCTGGCCGATACCTATACTAAGATTTCTGATATCGCTGATAACCGATATCACTGATGTCGATATTTAATTTTTGTTCACACCGAAAAATGAGTGTCATTAAGCACTGTGAGAAACTATTTAAAAGAAATTAGACCACATAGTCTTCTTTATCACATAACACATATTTAAACATATTTTAAAATATTTAACGTGAAAGTCATTTCAGTATAAAACATCTGCAGCAATAGCTGATGTTAGCCAATCATTGGCTTTTCACATCGGACCGATACCGATATATCGAAAAAACACTAACATCGGCTGATACCGATGTGGTCACCGATATATAGATAGATTTAGATTTAGATAAAACTTTATTGGTCCCTTTGGTTGTGTACCTCAGTACCCTACACCGACAAACACAGGAGCACACATCAGTTAAGAAAGAAAGTAGAAAGAAAGCAGATATATTGTGCATCCCCAATAATACTATATTGAAACTTGATGCTATTTCTAATTACGTGGGGGAGAAAAACATGTATATATATCAGTATCAGTGTCAGCAATCAACCAAAATAGGTTGGAAAATATCAACATGTTGGCAACAATCCGATATCGTGCATCCCTGTTCATTCTGACTTGGTTTGTGTTGGTGTTTGTTGACGTGGCGGCTAAATGCTCCTCCATGTTCACTCTACTGGTTGTGAACTGTGTGTGTGTGTGACGGTGATGACAGCCAGCAAAGCAGTAAAGCTCCGTAAAGCTGAGGGGAGCTGCACATTTCAGGTGATAAGTCTTTGTGGATTCATCACCAGTAGCGAGTCCTTTCTCAGTGTTTTCATATCCTCACAGTGGCGGCGTTGTCACTTCGAGGTAAAGCAGTGTCTTCAACTTCCAGCGTATTATCACAGACAGTAAAATGACTCTGCTCCCTCTGTAGTTAAGCCTCTGAAGATGATTCTGGACTTTAATCCTCTAAACTTCTCCTGACCTCCCCAAATCAGTCTATAAAACCCATACCAGACCACTCTGCACATCTTCTTCTGTAGGATCTTGATCACATGTAGATGTGTTGTAGGAGGACAGGCAGGACCTCCCTGTGCCTCTCAGGCCTGGATCACACTAAGGCTCCGAGCTCTCTTCTTATTTTCCTCTTCATCCATAAATCTAGATATGAGTCCCCACTGAAGGACGGTATAAGGTCTACGGTACCATAGAACCCTCAGAACCGATGCTAGCGTTGAGTAATGAGTTATTGAGTAATATTGGGTCATTTGAAAGGGGACGTTCCATGTTGGCGAGCAGAGAGCATTGTGGGAGTTCAACCACTGGAGTGTCTTCATGACTAAGTCCTCTGTGATGCTAAATGACTTCTGTGCCTGTTAAGTAAATTATTCAGCTTTACAACATACACGTGACAGGAAACATAAACTGGGTTTAGATTCTGACCAATTCAGATCATGAACATCACCAAAAACAAAAACTAAAGAAACTAGACTTTTGCTTTTTTTTTTTAAGATGATCTCAGGGTTTCTATCAGAACAAATATAAGGTATGTCTGTTATATTCCTGTTAGCGTGTTTTCCACCCAGTTCAGGTGATCTTTGTGACCTTTCAGCGGATTTCATTCAAGGTCAGAAAGAAAAATAAACTCACGTGCAGCTTGAGGACCTTCTCCATGTGAGCTGCTCCGTCCTGTTTGATCTGAGCCAGAGAGGGACCGGCGCTGCTGTGGCCAGCGAGGGTTTGTGATCCATAACAGGCTTATTCCTCTTCCAAACCAGGCCTACTGGAACTCAATTATTTAGCACTGCAGGCCTTCCTCCGTTATACGGTCTGTCACCCTGCAATGACAGGGATTTGCCGGGCTGACGTGTCATTACAGTGAATAAGGGCAGAACCATCCAGCATGGTGGGACTATTCTTAGAGGTGCCAGAGAGAAGATTGGTTCGGATTTATTCCTGCATCTACAGGGTCGGTTTTGGGGGAAACACACATGTAGAACATACAGCAGCAGAATAAAGCAGAACTCAGCCCAAAACCCAGGAAGACAGATTTTAATCAGAACATGGACTCGTTCCATTTATATAATCACATCATTTACAGAAGTTCAGTGATTTACTGCAGTTTGTTGTTATTCTAGTAACAGAATGTGTGTTGTTTTGCTTTGAGGATGCTCAAAGCTTCATTCACTTTAATGCTTTCTCTGCATTTTTGAAGATTTTTGATTTACTTTCAGTCCACATGTGTTTCTGCTGCCTCAAACTCACATCTAGACATGAGTTCAGATCTTGCCAACATAACAAGACACAAAATACAGAACTCCAATCACTAAAAATTAAATCATAGAACGGTTTTACAGTTTATCCACAAAAATACAGCAGAAAACAAGTCCAGCAGCATTACGGTGCATCTGCAGGGAGATCTTACCTTCACCCAGCTGGACTCATACAGGTTCTGACTTCTAACAACAAGACCTTTATGAACATCAGAATGAGTTGTGAGTTCGATGAGGATGATGAGTGTTCTTCATCCCACCGCCGACCTCTTGATCATCAGCCAGAAGATCAGCCGAGTGTCACGGCGGCCTGTCGGGTCGGTTCAGAATAATCCCCCAGGTACTTAAATGTCACTTTATGAACTCCGTGAGGACAGCGCTTCATCAGAGGGGGTCTGCTTTTTTTCTTTTTATTCATTTATTTATTTATTATTTTACATAACAAAAGCAATTTGCTTTAATCCGGCCGGTATTAACCGGCACCGGGGCGGCTGCAGCTGTTGAGGGATGTGCAGTAGTGGAGCTGCAGGTCCACGAACCGACACTCGAAAGCAAACTAGAACCCGCTCGGCACTACCGTTGTTCATACCTGTGCTTCAGGGCTTCTGCTCATCTTGTGATCTGTTAAACTGACAAAAACATATTTTTTCTGGCACCAGTTGCGCGAGTTCACAAATTGAGAAGACGGAGCTCCAGAGTAGTTTTTCCTTCTCGATAGATAATTTTCGAGGCCTGAGGAGGCAAAAGGATCAAACAATTCAAAAATATAAGATTATAGAAAAGTAAAAATCTACAATCCTATATCAATATGAAATATAGAAACCACTGCTGATTGTATGATTGTTTATTATGACTGAATGCTTGATCAAGAATCTTCCTGCAATAAAACTCATCACAGCCTCAAACTCAAAGATTTGTGTATAAAAAGAGGAAATTAATGATAAAGAGAAAGTTGCTGCTCATGGATTTTCTGAGCTAATCAGAGGGTCATGGTTTCATCACCACAGCGCTGACTTTCATTCTAACACAACTAACATCACTACGGTAATTAATTAATTTCATTCAGCTGTTCATTCTAATGGTTTATTAATCTACATCACAGTAAGTTCATTAACTTGTTCTACTCTGGATGTACATGAAGCCTGTGTTTTCATTCTCGGTGTGAATAATGAATTGAGCCTTTCTTTGTTTGTTTGACTTCCAGGTGGTGGATGTTGGTACACAGTCAGACTAACCTCTTACATTCACGTTGACATGGTTAATTATTTCTCTTTATTTGAATTCTTAGTGCCAGATACGAGCGTTTTGAGGGTGAGACTTCACTACATTGCTAGCATTTGCTATGGCTGCCTGATTTCATAAGAGGAGACATGAACCCTGCATGCTTTTAACCCTTAAACGACTGCCTTGGCTCTGCATTCCCATCACGCTTCAACTAATATTTGTGTCCGTGAGATGGGAAAGTAATGCAGCGCCACGCTTCAATGTGAACTATTGCACCTGGAATACAACATATTCCTCAGACAGACTGCTGTGCAGTTATTTAAGGGTTAATCAGGTATATCGACGAGGTATTGCTTGTCTGATGATTAATGCATGCCCTTTCTCAACAGAAAACCGTTGGAAAATACCAACTATTGCACTTTTTTTGAACACTTATGTTCCCCTTCTGTTGGAAATCTTAAAAATGCAATTTCAGGAAAAGAAGAATGCATCTTTTATGTTTTACTGTTCTTGACATGTTGTTATAACGTTTTTTCTCACTCTGCCTTTGGACATAAACACACTTTGTTTTTTGTCTCTGACAGTCCGATCGAGTCGTGTCAGAACTTCTACAAAGACTTCACGCTGCAGATCGACATGGCCTTCAACGTCTTCTTCTTGCTGTACTTCGGCCTCCGTGTGAGTGACGTCGGCTGGTTTAAGAACAAAGCAGAGCCTCTCTTATCGCAAAGTGCTGAGTCTGACTTCTGTACGATTCACTTCCACAGTTTATTGCTGCCAATGACAAGCTGTGGTTCTGGCTGGAGGTGAACTCGGTGGTGGACTTCTTCACGGTCCCTCCGGTGTTTGTGTCGGTGTATCTGAACAGGAGCTGGCTCGGTAAGAAAACACACAGCTCGGCTCAGACAGCGGACCCAGCAGCATCCTGTGGTGCCACCCAGTGGACCGAACTGGTCTGACGGCTGTCGCTGAACGCACCACATAATCTCAGCACATCACTGAAGCTGCGAAACGGGAACTTGTTGGTGTTTAGCGGTCGTGGACACGGCGGCGCTGTTGGCCATACGAGTCTGATACTTCTGTCACGACATGAACTTTGTGTTGGCATGTTGCATGACACGCATGAACAATCCGAATGATTCCCATTGAGGACAGAGTGCATCAAATTAAAACCTCTGCCACAGCACAGCATGACAGCTGATTAGCATGATGACTCCAAAGCCTTTCTCAGAGTTACTGGTTGAACTCATGCTGGTTTTGCTTGACAACAGTATCAGACGGAGTATGGCTGAGCCGGGTGTGTCGTCGGTGTGGTTTTCTGTCCATCCCATGTGTTTTGTGCTCGCTGCGGTTGTCATTCACTCGACCTTCACCTCTCCAGCAGGCCTCTCCAGCACACCTGCAATAACACTCGAATGAAATCACGGCGTGATTGAAAAGTACGCGAATGGATCAAAACAGGTAATAGGCTTTGTTGGAGGCTGCAGCGCCAGAATAGAAGTCAATCTGCTAAATGTGTGAAGCTCATCACTCGGAGAGGTCTGTGAGGAATTACAGGATTAAGAGGGATCATTCTTTTCTCTTTTTTTTTTTTTCTGTTGTTGCTGCATTTCAGGTTTTTCGAGCTACTTTTTCTCCTCCTGTCAGCTGAGGAACAAAGCTGCCACGGAGCCTTCGCTCAGCAGCAGCGAGCTGCTTCAGAGCGGCTGTGACGGCCTGATGGCTGCGGTTGCGTAATGCGCCCGTGGATTTTCCTCTGGGCTCATCTGCTGTGACTTGTGGTTTGAAAACAACAAAACTAGAAGAAGGTAGAGCTGGCTGCTGGCTGCTGTTGCCATCTAGTGGACATGTGGGAGTATAGCTCTGATGATAGTTTCCCTCCCAGTGCTGCTGGTGTTCTGTCAGCTGCATCGTGTGGACAGTTACTGGTTTGTGAGGAGTCCATGTTTGTTGGTCACCTATCCGTAGTCTTTCTACTCTGCTTGGAGTCTTTATACGGTGGAATTTCTGTCTTTTTTGTGGCTGTTTTACATGCGTAGTTTGGAAACGTGTGCATTTCAGGGTCAACTTTTTAAAATGATTTGGCTGTTTTCTACTTTAGTGCTGACTTTTGAACACAAATACATGTTTGTGTAAATGCATACGGATAAAATAGATGTTTTACTCGCCTCTCTGGTAATTCTGACGAGCCAAGACAGTCTAATATTTATTTGTAGAACTAAAGTATAAATTAAATATTAAATTAATTGATGCAGACAGAGTTCATTATTATATTTTAGCTTAATGTAATTGACATTGCACTGACTTAAGTAAACGAACAAAGACAGCGATGACGTGTTTTCAGATTAAATGGAGACCAAACAGGTTAGAACATGTTTTAAAACGTAGATATCACCATGAGACGTCTTTAATTTATTGCTTTGAATAATCATTTGAAATAAAATTTTTCTGAACTTGTATGCTTAAATATCCAAATAAGGTTTTATAAATCTAAAAAAAAAACAGTCCTCATGTGAACTTCATTTCCAGAACAGAAATCTGAATGTCAGATATAATTTTTCTTTCATCTTGCTGACATGTTAGAGCGTCAGGTTTTCACAGAGGGGATTTTTCAGATCTCTTTTTTATCACTTCATAAATCAGAAAATACTGTCAACACCCAGAGAAAAATCCATTTTTTCCATGTATTCATGAATAAAACGCTCCATTATTCAGGCTGTGAATGGTGAATGAACAAACCTCTCTATAGCAGCCTTCAGAATAAAACCGGAGCGTTTGGAGTCTGTCCGTGTTAATGAAATACAGATTTCTGGCTCAGAATGTGAAAGAAAACTCATTTTGAGAAAACTGCCTCTATTGTAATTGAAAGTTACAGACGCTGAGCACAAAGTGTAGTGAAATAAATAAACCGCTAAATGTGTGTCTGGGATGTTTTCTCTTCATTAGTTTGAAAGAAAAATATCCTGAAGTCTCAGAAGTGACCAGTGCATGAAACAAAGCATCAGCCTGCAGAAATCTAACGCTAAAGACTCATCTGTTAGATGAAAATCCAACAGTTTCCTTCATTAACAAATAACCTGCAGATTACTACTGAAATCCAAAAAAGAAAGAAACTACCTATCTAAATTTCATCCATGGTGATGAAAGATATTACATTTAGAATGATGTGAAGAAGAGAAAAGCAAAAAAAAATATTCAAATTTAAGAGACAAGTGACAAAAATCTGTCCTAGATTATCTGATAGTTGCAGATTAGTCTTATTTCTATATCCAGTCTAATAGATAAACTCATCTAATCTAATCTAGTTTGTAAGATATCACAACGTTCTCTTGTCGTGACTCATATTTCAGAGCATCGGAGCCTTTTTGGGTTCAGTTTGCAGAGGACCGGTTGGTTCTGGTGGCTGTTCTGGCTTCGTTCCTCGGAGTTCGTGGCTCAGCGTGAGCAGCAGTGATTGTGTTGCTGCCGGTTGTGTAGGTGGTGTTCTCTCTGTTGTCTGACTTCTGACTGTGTTCCACACCAACCAGAACCAACCAGAACCAACCAGCACGTCCGTCACACGCCGGGTGTTCAGAGAGGAGCTCAAACACACACGATCCATACAGCTCGTCTGGATGACGTCGGACCTGCTCGTCAGTGTTCATGTGTTCTCAAAGGCCTTGTTCATAAAACCTACATGTGACTGAAAAAACAACAATTATTCATAAAGTCCAATCGTTTTCCTGCTTCAGCTTCAGGATGCTGCTCACGCTGACTCACTGTCTCACTGGAGGCTTCAATAGTAGCACCTGTGCTTCTCCTCAAACTGTCTGCTGAGAGAGATTCACAGATTAAAAATAATATTCAAAATGAACACTGATCAGAAAAAAATGGACCAACGTTTCCTGTTTTTGTTTTTTCCTTCCAGTGAGAGGAACAACAGTCCTAATCTCTCCCAGTAGGGTCAGTGAACAATCGGTGCTGGACGGATTAGTTTGGTTAAACGGCCGTCGACCAGGTGATGAGGCGGCTCAGCGGGGTTCGCTCGCAGCTGTCCAATCTGCCAAACCGCCAATCTGCCCGTCCTGCTGTCTGAACATTCGGACACAATCACAGTTTGCACTAATATTCCCTCATGTGCACATTTATGCTCGACAGGTTTGCAGGTTTTAGCAGAAAAACAACCTGCAGGCGGCGAATAGACGCTGTTTTTACTGCAGAGTCTGGATTTAGAGGCTTCACGCAAGTGTGAAATATAAACATCACATTTATCTCTGACAGGGAGAATAATCCGCTGCTCTTCCAGATAAGATGTTCGTGTCTTGGTGGCAGCCACATGTTGAAGTGTAAAAACACAGAAAGAGGCTTTTAGTATTAACGTGTCCTCTAATGCAGACGCTGGAAAGCAGCAGCTGATAACGTTCAGCAGGTGTCAGAGGTTGTGGAAAAAGATAAACTAGGAATGGTTGTACTTTACAGTTCTGTCATCTTCATGTTTTAGTCATTTTACTGGAACTAACTGTGTTTGATCAGAAAACTGCATCATGTGTGGAGGAAAACTGAGAACCAGCTCATGTAGCTTCTGGTTTTTCAGTTTAGTTGCTCAGTGTTGAGTTTACAAGCAGCTGATTAACTTCTAGTCCATAATGTTTTATTACTGGAACATTTATGCTCCATATGTGTTGACTCTTGGTGGATTTTTGCTTAAAGATAAACCCTGGTCGGTGGTTTCCAGTCTTTTGTGATGCCTCAAGTCTTCTCGTGACTCCACATCAGCCGACGCTTCAGTCTCCAAACAAACAAAGTGTTTTATTTACAGCTTTCGACTTGAACTCCAACCTTCTGCATCACAGTGAGCTGCTAATGAGCGTATCTACCGAACCCAGACGCCCTGCTGGGATCGCTGTTTGCTGCTGTGATTGGACGTAGTGTCCCCTCTGATGTGATGCTCACATATGATGCTTCTTGTAGGCTTCCGTAAGTCGGCCAATCAGAAGAAAGTGGGCTTCCAGTGAGGGGGGGACCGAACTAAGGGGGCTACATGAAGCGACCAAACACGATAAAAGGTCTGACGTGATGCGAAGCTGCTCTGGTGAACTTCCACAACAACAACAGCACAGAGCTGGAAGTGAGCGTGATGCTCCTCTTCAGCAACAATAGCAGTTATGACATCAGCTGTGATTAATTTCAGGATTATTGCAGAAGGACTAAATCCATAGAACAACACAATGAGCGCCATAGCTCCTCATCCCTCCATGCACAGCTTTACTGGCTGTTCACATGACTCGTGTTCTGTCGTGAATGTGAGGCAGCGAGACACGCTGTGCTTGTCCAAGATTAGAGAATGAAATTTGGTTTGTCAACAGCAGTTGTGGTGTCACAGGGATGAGATGTGGGCTGCATTGTGAGGCCAGCTGATGGACAGACTTGCTGCGTGGCCTCTTCCTTTCCCTGGATGAATCCTAAAGGAGCTTACACTCTAATATCCTGATGGGGAAAGGGTTTGCTTTAAGCTTGGCCAACGCGCCTGATCGCCGTGAGGATACGGTGAAGTTGCGAGGTGAATCACATCAAAATGCTTCTTCATACAGGAGCTGTTTCTGACGCCGGCCGGTTGGGCGCGAGCACCATTAAACCACCTGAGCGTGTTTGTGGACTTCTTTCTTTTTTCTGAGGAGGATCTTTTTGCTGCTCAACATCTGGAACAGTGAAGGTGTGGCAGTGAAGCAGGTTCTGGACTTGCAGCTGGAAACTTTTGCCTGAAATTTCCAGACATGATTCCCACTAAGATGTTAGTGTACCGGGGGCCCGATGGAGGCACGCGCTCTGAGGCGGCTTCTGACACAAGGAGACGCAAGAAGTCGACCGGGGAGCTCTTCCAGAAGGGCTACCGGGTCAGGATGGGCCACGGGCAGGTCACCGACAAAGAGGACCAGGACAGCATCTGCTACAGCCTGGGTGCATGCTTCCATGTAATCTCCTACTGGGGTAAGACCTGCGGGATATGAAAACGAGGGGGAATCTCCTCTAAAGCCGAGTCCTGGCGTGTCCAGAACTCTTTGGACTCTGTGTGTAAGCTGGAGCAGTTTCAGGATTTGCTCCGTATTACGTTTCCCATCTGGCAAACAAGCACTTGAGATGAAAAAAAAAAAAGGAGTTTTGGCAAAGGCTGGCCGCGGTTCACTTTGTAAATCACTATTTATTTCTGTTTTGTTTTTTTTGTTTGTTGGCAGAGGGATCGCCGGTAACGTCTTTGATTTGTGTCATTTGGCATCAGTGCAGATCCGTGTCAGCAGGGGAGTTTGTCAGCCCGATTAATGACGGTGGAGATGGATTTTACTTGATTGCTCACTTCTAGCTGAGGTGGCTTTTATTGTTCGTGCAGCTCTGACACAGTCGACGCAGAACCGAGCTGGTTGTGTGAATCATTTGGCTTTTGGACTCAGGTGGGAGGCGTTTAGTGAAACATAAACAACAAGGGGTGTTCTTCTTTATTAAATGTGGTTTTCGAGCAGCTTTCTGACACAGAACCGAGCAGTAATGAGGCTGTGAGCTGACGTCCATGCAGCGTGCGGTGCAGCGGTCGTGTGGAGGAGATCAGGCTGCTGTCATGTTGCCGTCGTGTCGTCCTTGAACTCTTGGCAACAGGCTCCATTTTTTTTCTCCCAATAAATGCCCTCAGATTCAGGATTTGACGTCACATCTGTTTACTCATTTAATTTGCTGTGACGGCGTCCACCTGCCTTTACTCTCTAATCCAGGAGTTTTATCCGGCATGAATGAAGCATGTATCAGGTAGAGGCCGGTGGACGGCGGGGCGCCTCACATTAGAACAGGTTAGGAGCTGAGGGAGACGTATCTGGGATGTGGAGCTCGCTGTGTCGTATCCTAAAATCGTTCTGTTAGTGCTCAGAGTCGCCTGATCAGTCGGAATTTACTTTTTTTGTTTTTTAATCAATATGAATCCAATGAAGCTGATAAACATGGATGAAAGCATGAAAGGTACGACGATGCTGATGCTGATGCTGATGCTGTTGAACCCGATCGACTGCTGCTGTCTGACTTGTTGCTAATCATCTCTTGTAATTTCTTTATGGTCTTTTTTTCTTTTCACAGGTTTGAGGTTTTTAAGGGCCTTAAGGTTGATACAGTTCTCTGAAATTTTACAGTTTTTGAATATACTAAAGACAAGGTAAGTGTCCTGATGCTTCCTCTCACACTTTGCAGACTGTCTGTCACTTTCCTCCTGCTGTATGTGTGCATGCACGGACCTGGTTTTATGTTGAAGGATAAAACGTCATCTTTCATTTCTTTTGGTTAACATTAACTTTACTCTTGTGTGTCGTGCACTCTCTGGACGTTACGCTGTACGATTCAGTCTTTTCTATTTGTGCTATTTGTGCTCAGAATTAAAGCTTTTAGCACAGATGTCAGAGAGAGCTTATAGCGCTGCAAAATGCTGTAGAATAATCTCCTCGCTCAGATGATGGTAAAGACAGAGCACACGAAGGATGGAGGTCATGCAGCCGCTGGGCTGCAATAAGTCCTGCAGAATATTACTTAAATATCCAGCCATGAAGACTTTTGGTCCCTCGTTTACATCTGTATGAGTCACATTGTTCACATGCATGGATGAAAATGTGACTCTTATGGTAGCATGACAGCAAGACAAGCAGCGTGTGCATCAGACAGGTCATTAGACACATGAATGCAGGTTTAGGAGTTAACTGTGTTGTGTTGCATGTTGTTGTTCTCACAGCGTCAGTAGCTCCAGACTAACCCTGTTCATAATGTTTACCATCAGGGTCCTTCTGCTCGACCGTCTCTGATTCGCTTGAAACTTTTTTATTGTGAGCTGTGAAGTTTTAGATTTACACATTTTATACTTTCTGAGATTTTTCTATTTATTTTTTTAATTGCCCCTTTGACCCACTTTCAGCACTTTTTTTTCTCGCTTCTTGACATTTTCAGCTTTGTTTGAACCACAACACCTCAGGAACTATTAAAGATAAAACATGTTTTACTGCTATTTCTCATCAAGTCATTGATTTAAAGTATTTTATTATATTTTAATATTGTATCTGCGATGTAGGTAGATCTAATACTCTCTGATCGTTGAGCACACACTGAAATAAATAATGCAGACGTCAACTAGTGATATTTTATTAACCATATTTAACTGCGTGTCACAATAATACAAACAAAACATGTAAAATACTTTTTATATGAAATACTTCATCACAAAAAAGAAGAAAAAAATGTTTTAGTGGAACTTTTATGACTGATTCAGTATAAAAAGTTGCACCACAAAAACAAAATGCTGCATCGAGTAATTTAAGAACAAACTACAAAATATTTCCTCCAGATACAAACATCTTGTTTTGTTCGCTAACCGCTGATATTAAAATATTCAGGCAGATCAGAGACGATCAAGCAGACGCTGTTCTAGAAATTCGACCCGTTTATGATGGAATGGTGAAAAACAACGACACGCTTTGGTTTCGGTTATATTTCATCTTTTATTGTCTGGCTCTTTCTAAAATAGCAACTCGATTAAGCTGGTGAACCTGTGTTCAATCTTCATAAGCACATGGCTAACTGCAGCAGGCTTCATCCACTTGGTAAGTCAGTGGCGGCCGTCTAACGTAAGGAGAAAGTCTTGTAATGAACCCAATGGCTGCACCAACGATGATTCAAAATACCTGACAGTTGTGTGTGTTTTTGTTGTTCAAATGTCGACTTGTCTTCCAGGTGGAAAACTCAGGGGATCCTTGGGAAAATTTCCAAAATTCCCAGGCACTTTCCTACTGGGAATGTGTCTACTTACTCATGGTTACAATGTCCACTGTTGGCTACGGAGACGTTTATGCCAAAACCACACTGGGCCGCCTCTTTATGGTCTTCTTCATCCTTGGTGGTTTGGTAAAAAATACCTCTTATTACTTATCCCTGCTTTAACTCCTCCATGCAACCAGTCATCACAGCCCGCCAGGTGTTCGTAAAACGCCGGGGCTCGGCTCAGGAGGCCGTTCACCTGTTGTTCACACTGAGCAGTATGTTGCATGTCATGTATCAGCATTTGTTCTGTTACACATTGACTCCTATATGACAATAACGTGTGCATAATCTGTTGTTAACCTGTAAAAGTGCGACGGTTTCAGGTGACTCCGCCCTCCTGCTTCTCCTCCCTCTTTCCAACAAACACCGTGAGCCGGGGATGATTTATCACAGCCCAGCTTTATGGATGTAGCAGCATGTCTGTGTCCTCAGCTTCAGTCCTAATCTGACAGAAAATATCATTTCTGGGATTGACCGGACCGGAGGAAGTAGCCAGAGATGGTTTAGAGGGCACCGCCAGCCGGATTATAAAGTATTATTCAGGACGGACTCGCTGTTTTGTTTTCTGTCTCTTTTTGATGATCAAAACCTTGTAAATGGCAGATTTCAGACTCACATTTTTTATTAAACCAAGAAGGTCGCAGCCATTAAAGTGATCGCTCAGTGTAAACATCAAGTAGCTTAAATTAATAAAAATGTGATATAAAATACACGACGGGAGGATTTTTCTAAACTTAAAGAAACTTAACTGACAAAATATTAAGAGGTTAAAGATCCTCTTTTATTTAAAGGCACTCATTCTGTTTTTTTCATCTAATTCATTTTTCATTGCAGCATCACAGATCAGTTGTTTTAGCATCTAAATGCTACGTTTTCAGTCTCTGCCTTGATTTAAAACGTGACCTTATCGATGGAAGCCACACTTCTCGATGGCGAACACTGATTCCTCCTCCTTAGTTTGTAGAACGTCAACAACAAACAGCTGTTTTGTGGTGAGTCCAGGCGGCTGGAGGGTCGTACAGCTTGCCATCCATCTTGCGGCGCTTCAAATCAACCCGACACGCGTGTTTGTTGGACGAAACATGGCACATAAGGCTTCTTCTTGATTTTTTACGATGACTATTTTTCCCGCTGCAGATCGACACACCGCTCATCATTTTTCTCCTTTTTTCTTCCAAAACCTTTTTTTAGCCTTTTATTTTTCATTTTCATTCTTTTTCTCGATATTTGGGATGTAACACCTTCGGGTTACATTCGCTCGGTTTCCCTTCAGTTAACCTGAATGAAACACACATTTATTTTCTTTTTCCATCCCCTGCTAACCAACAAGCATCAAACTGCTCCTGAGCGTACACTCGTGCTCCTCTTCCAGACTTGACAGATTTCTTTAAACTTAGAGGGCCTTGCTCTTCTTTGCTTGTCTTTTTTTTAGTCTCTGCTTCTGTCTCCTATCTTCTCCTTAGGCCATGTTTGCAAGCTACGTCCCTGAAATCATAGAGTTAATAGGAAACCGCAAGAAATATGGTGGTTCCTATAGTGCGGTTAATGGGAGAAAGTAAGTATTCAAGGAGGCTCTACTGCCTCCGCCGCAGTAGAACTTCTCTGCATGCCCTTTTCTTTTTCTTTTTCATGCATGTAGGCCATGTTTGCTCGCTACGTGCCAGAAATTGCTGCTCTCATCCTTAATCGGAAGAAATATGGAGGGAGTTATAACTCGACCAGAGGCAGAAAGTAAGTCAAATGAATCGAAACAGCAAACTTGTACTGGTGTGGTTTTGTGTGACTCAAGTGGCCCTCTCATAAAGAGGCGACTGATCTCTGCTCAAGTGGACGTCATGAGACTGTGATTTGAGATGTAACGATCTCAATTAGCACTGAAGTCACACCGTGACTGAAGAACTTGGCCATGATTCATGTGTTTACTGTACTGCTGCTGCTTGTCATGAATGAATGTTGGCTTTTACACTGCAAAGAAATCTCCTCTTAACACGAGCTTTTTGTTTATTACTGACTCCTGAAGGTTCTGTTTTCCTAAAACGAGTGAACAAACCTGCTTGTTGGATTGTTTTTGTGCACAATTCAACGTGTATCAGGCAGATTTGTTCACTTGTGTTAGAATAACAGGACTTTGGGAGCTCAGAAATAGACAGAAATGTCTGGATAAGACAGATATCTTTTCTGTGTAATCATGTAGACGTATTGTTGTTGTCGTGCTTAAATGTGACACATGGAGGATTTTCTCACTGTGATGGAAAACGTTCACTTTGTTTGCATGTGTAGAATAATGAAGGCTCTGCTGACTTCAGTGGTGCCAAAGCTTAAATCAGTAACTTCATCAAATAGCTCCCACAGTGATTACAGGTAGACGAGGGTATAAAAGACAGTACAGCAGCAGAGAACAACCAGCCAAAGTGTTTTAAGGTTCTAAGGTTACACATTAAGGGTAAGAAGCTACGACATTACATATAATGAAGATTTATCTGACTGTTAAGATTAAGAACGTTCAGTATTAGACAGTATAGCAAATTACCTGACTGATTAATAGAAAGAAGGTTTAGACTCTACAGAATTATACAGAGGAGTCATAAAGTCAGAGATAAACAGCAGCATCTGTCTTCGCTACCAGTGGAACATATTGAACTGAATCTGGTGGTTTTAGGATTATTTAAATGTTCAATCTTTAGGATTTCAGCCCTGGTTACTATGGAAACGCCTGATGTTCACATGGTATTAGCACAATAATCTCATATTGCAGGGAGGGAATCTGAATCCACAGCGGGAGCGTCGACTCCTACCAGTAAAACCACTACAGAGACAAAGACTTCCAGTAAATATCTACGTAAATGTAAATGCGTCTGTGATGGAAACACGCTGATGGATGAACGCTGCAGCTTCTGGTGTTTTTGCAAAATCCACAAACAGAATAAATGCAAAGTAAAACCAGCATTTATGACAAAATTTGGTGCCTTTTTGAGAACGTTGAGAAAAATATGTGCTTTTTTTTTTCTTTCTGAATTTCTGCCCTTGTGTCTTATAAAACCTCAAGATTCAAGATTCAAGCTTAACTTTACTTTATTTATCTTGGACTCTTCACTTAGCTGCAGCCAACACAAGCAAACAGGGACAACACAGTTAATAGACAGAATAAATACATACATCAGGCAAAAGCAGAATAAACATGAACATCATAGTCTAGCTTCATGAGTCTAAAACATGTCATTTTAAGTCATGCATTGACCAGTAAAATGATTATTTCCAGGAAAGTCTGAGTATAAACAGAAAATAAGAAAAACAACCTGCAGTCGCCCTTTAACTTTTCTTTGTAGGATGAAGGACTTTTCAGCGACTTTTATCAGTCAGACGTTACAGCAGCGCTCGCTTCAGGACCGGTACAGACAGAGTTAATAAAAAATAAAACTAAACAAGATCAGAACAAAAAGGTTTTTCATAAATCCACGGATGGCGTTTCCTCGCCGTTTATGGTACGATGAGAAAATCCTCCATGTTTGGTGATGTCGTGTAATTAAGCTGCTTACTGTCGGTGTGTCAGATTTGTGTTTGTAATCAAGTGTCTCCACTCATTCACATGATTTGATTTGATTCACTCATCTTCCCCTCATCTCCCACGTTAGACACCAGACACATTCTCTAACTAGCATCAGATCAAACCAGACGAGAAGAAGGATGATCACAGCTTTAGTGTTGCTTTAATCATACAGTGTGTGGTAATAAAACCACAGAGAGGAGGGAGAGATCAACAGAGACAGCAAAGAAACAGAATAATAATGTATTTATTCTGATTAATTGATTTATAACAACATTTTATATAAGCAGTAACTGCTTTTTAAAACCAGCCATGCCTTTAAATACCAGACTCATACATTTGGTTGTGTGCCATTGCTTGCTTCGTGCTAGTTTTTTTAAATTTTCTGTTTTTCTGTGCTTGAAACACTCGTACCGCTCTGCTCTGCTGCTTTTATTTTCCACGCTTTGCTTTTTGAACATTCTTGGCCTTAATCTTCAGTCTGACCTACACCCTCAGGACTAAACACAATCCTCAGTTTTTAAATAAGACTTTCACATTTTCGGAAATTCTCTTATTCGCTTTCTTGCCGATTGTTAAATAAAAAAAGATCGATGTTTGTGTGTTAGCGATGGAGCTGCTGAGTCACAGCTCCTGGTTTGCATCAGCCTCCTCTGAGCTGCTGATGTGATTAAACGCAGGCCAACTTTGTGTCTCAAGTTCTTGCGTGAGGAGGCGGTACGGCAGGTGGTTCCTGTTTGGCCCAGTCTTGGAACACAGGAGGACCTCTGCTCCATTGATATGCTAATGGAGCCGTCACACCTCTTCCTGAATCCACACCACACTCACTGCTTAAGATGTTCTGGTAGACTCTAATGAAAAACATCGACTACCACCAGTTGTCCTACATGTAGTAAAGAACCAGATCATGGATGTAAGTTGAAGCCCGTCTGAACCCCATAAACCCGCCAGCAGTCCTAAAAGGCCATGTTATGTCGTTTTTAAAGTGCCAGAATTACATCATTTAGCAGAAAATGTAAAGACAGAAAGACTTTTCCAACATTTTTTGATCTGACAGCGTGTGATAAATCATGATGCCGTGAATATGAACCCTGTTCAGGACTTTGGGCTCTTTTGGACCTCAGGCCAGTTGGTTTAGGTGACAGGTTTTGGTTTTTTACTTTTGAAGATTTTGTTTTAAATATAGAAAGGGGGACATTTGTCAGCATTTGGAACCAAACATACGTCAACTTATCAGAAAACTTATTTAACACATTATAAAGTCTGTAATGAATACCAACACTTATTGTGCACAGATTCTTTGGGTCCAACGGACCCCCGAAGACCTTCTACGTCTGGAAACATGAAAGTCCTGGATATGGATAAGTTTAAAGTTTAAAATCAAGATATTTCATCGAAATCACGTTTCTCTACGTGTGTCGGTTAAAATTTTTAGCAAAGATAAATCCTTGTCCTGATCAGATTCTATAGAAGACAACATGTTCTCCTCAGAACGCAGAGACTCAGCTGCAAACTACAATCATGTAAGAAAACTTCTGGGCCTGTTTGTCTGAACTGAGCTCAGCTCTGGACTGTTTGTGTCGAGCAGAGAGAAGAGAAAGGTAGTGAAATATCTATAGGTCGTGTAGATTCCTTTTATCAGCATTAGTTGATTACAGTTCTGTTTTTTGTTTTTTTAATAAAATAAGCATTTAAAAAAAATCTACTTTTGTTTTTTTTTTTTTCTTTTATGAATATTGGCATCAAAACTGTGTCATACTGCACGAAAAAAAAAAGTTCTGTCTACATCTAGTCCTGGTTGCTCTGGTTCTGTAGAGGTGCAGGACTTCATGAAAATGAGTCCACAGCGAGTAGAACTGTACCAGAAGGACAAAACCTCCAGAAGCTGCTTCGGGTTCAGAGGGTCCAACTGGTCTTACTGTTCATAGATTTACAACATGCACATAGATCGGTTCAAAGCTTGTCATCCACACTCAGCTTCCAACAGGTCCACCGACAGAGAGACAACTACAGCCAGGATGCAATTAGCTTAGCTTAGCATTCAGCTCCCTGTAAAACCACGTTTGTTCGTTCTATTTTCTGTAGCGTGAGATGTGCTGAGAGACACATTGTCCACCTTAAGGCAGAGCTAGGCTAGCTGTTCCCCTGCTTAGAGTCCTTATGCTAAGCTAAGCTAATAGCAACACGACATCGATCTTTTTCTCTCGACTCTCGGCAAGAGTGCGAATAAGCGAACGTCCTTTTGTGTCCGAAGCTCTGCAGCTGTTTCTACAGACAGTGACATTCTGCTGGATGCCTCAGCGCTCGAAACGAAACGTGGCTTCTGGTGGCTGCTTTGGTTCTTCTGTCGCTCGCCGTAGTCGTCCTCGTGGTGAAGAAGTCGGACTTGGTTCGGGAAACTTTCTCAAACCAAGTCTGTGCTTCATTTGTTGGGTAGCTTAGCAGAAAACTCGCAGTAGGAGCTTCTTAGATTTAGAATGTTTGTTTGTTCTGTTTTCTATCATTTGAAATTGTTTATTTCAATTTTTCCTCTTTTTTTTTTACTATTATTAGTGATGAGTAATAATTTATGAAGAGTTTTTCTTCCCTGTGATGATGGTAGGTAGCTGACTCACAGGACTGGCTCCTTAGTCTGATTCTATCTGAGCAGTGGACTCAGTGGTAATACTCAGAACTGGATTCATCTCATCAGCAGGCATCAGTTTCCATTCTGACCTATTTAATGTCCTCATGGGCCGGACAAACCCGTCAGCGTCATTATTTCTTATTTTTCTTCCCTCCATCGTCTTTATTTCTACTTCCGGTAACTCTCATCACTCTTCACTGTTTTCCTTCACAAACGAGCAGAACACGTGGATTCAGAATAAACACAGAGACGTCCAGCTGTTCTTCCACAGCAGCGCTTCAGATGAAACGTTTACTCACATCTGAATAATTTTTAAACACAAATATGATGAAGTTATGTAGGACTGTGTCCAAACCGGGTTCCTTATATAAAGGCTCTGTGGGATCCAAATAGACTGTGTGCTGATTTCATAATCTCCATCTCAGTAAACTGATCCTTTATAATCTGATAGTGAAATCCACTCTGACCTCTCATTCAGCCGCCCAAACATCCCTCCTGTAGCGTCGTTTTGATCACTTCCATGTAGGTTTCCAATCAGTCACCATCACATCCCCCTCGTCTCCAGATCTCCATCTGATTCCAGGATAGACATGAAGATGAAACAACAGTTTGTTTCTGGGTTGTTGTTGTTGTTGTTGTTGTTGTTGTTGATGACTTTTGCTCTCACTGCGTTTTAGTTTCATTGCTGCTCTGCACCTCGTTTTCCAGGCACATCGTGGTCTGTGGTCATATAACACTTGAGAGTGTGTCCAACTTTCTAAAAGACTTCCTACACAAGGACAGGGATGATGTCAATGTAGAAATTGTTTTTCTCCATAAGTAAGTACAAAACTTCTTTGCTCATGAAATAAATTCTACGTGTCTCCTTGCAGATTTAAGGGCTTCTGACTGTTTTTCTTGTAGTATTTCCCCTAATCTTGAGCTGGAAGCCTTGTTTAAACGGCACTTCACCCAGGTAGAGTTTTACCAAGGGTCTGTCCTCAACCCACACGACCTGGCCAGAGTCAAGGTAACCCACAGACTGTTCTGCTGTGGCTCTGAACTGAACCATCATGCTGTAGTTTACCGCCTGACACTGACTTCATAACGCTGTGTGCCATGCTTTTAGATTGAATCAGCTGATGCCTGCTTGATCTTAGCCAACAAATACTGCGCTGACCCCGACGCTGAGGACGCATCCAACATCATGAGGTACCGTCAACCAACAGCAGGCTCTCCGTGATTCACCCGAATCTTCTCTGTTTGGCTTTTTCACTGATTCACTTTGTTTCATGTTATATTGGATTATAGTTTCTGAGAAAAATACAGATTTTTGGACCAACTGCAGTTATTTTAAAGCTCTCGTACTGTGACTCTTTTCAGCAAATTAACAAAAGTCTTCAGAATGTGTCTGTCAGTTTTTCGGCTCAGAGAACATAGCTGGTGTTAGTCAGCGTCTGTAGCCCCGCCCCCTTCAGGAAGACAATTTCTCTGAGTAATAATCTTACATGAAGACGTTTGCCAAATGCAGAGGTGTACTTTGGCTCTTAAGTGACTACTGGTGAGCATGTCGTCTTAACGGGCTGCAGTTCATGTTCCTTCTCTGGTCAGACACCTGGAACATCATTAGGATGCCGTATATGTGAGCCCAGAGAGCAGGAGAGAAGGAAACAGATGTAAAAACTCTCTGAGTTTATGTTGCATGGAAGAACCCTCCAGTCCTCGTTTATTGGTTTTAAATCATCTCTAATTATCCCTCAGCTTTAGAACTTTAGAGCTCTGACCTTGTTGCTCATGGCAATGTTAGCCCAAGTAACACTGAGGTTTTATTGTAGCCGTGGAGACGGTACCATCAGTAATAAAAGTCATTCACTCAGGCTTCCTTTTCTCTGGATCCTGGGACAGTATGAAGACTCTTGTGTTCATTCCTGAGGTCCACAGCAGAGCGTCGGTGAGCTTTGCTTGCACCAGAAGCAGCTCTACACAGTGAACAGACCTGGTAGACGTGAGGCAGCTGCTCACTCTGCAAGCAGCAGACAGGAGAAGGCAGGAATACATGCATTTTTAACTGGATCAGTTGGTACCAACTAAACGAACTTCTGAGGTGCTTATAAAGCTAAGAGGCCATCTAGTGGTGGTTGGGTTTGAAGAATGGCAGAGGTGAACCTCTTCATATATACCTCCAACTTTATAACAACCACAAAGCACAATAAAATGGATTCTCACCATACGGGACCTCTTCGTAGTGTTCAGGGATTATCAGGTGGTTGTTATGTAGGAGGACAAATGCTTTCAGACTGATGGGAACTTCCTGTTTACCTCAGTGGATGCTTCTCTTGTGGCAGCAAATAATAACAAAATGAAACCTTTTTTTTTTTTTTTTTTTTAAATCTAACAATGTTAGGAAGCTTAAAATGTGCTACAAGAATAATGAAAACTATATATATATATACATATATATTAGAGATGCGCCAATCCGACACTGGTTATGTGTATCGGGCCGATACTGGACGAAATTACGGTACCGGATGATTTCCTTCACAGTGGTAACTGGCCGATCCGATACCGCCACACACACACAATCCTGTCTTCCGACACATCCACGTGTTCGTCTGCTCATTGGCTACAAATTTACAGCGTCAGAGAGTGTCTGCAACCCGACTGATCGAATCTACAAGGGTGGGACTTGTGCGGACCGGGTTGACTGACTGAGACACTCCATTGGCTCTTCAGGCTGTCACTCACCCCCAAAGCCCTCCTATTGGCCAAACTAGGTGTCAATCAAAGGCTGAGACGTCCGTCTAGCTGCCTGTAGCGCTTTCAGCGCGATCTGAAATAGATTCAGGATGATTTTACCAGAAGAATGAATAAAACAGCCGGAGCTGATCTCAAGCTGGGAAGACATTACTGCAGAATTTGTGCCTTTGAGGATCTAATACGTTTTACGGACCGAATTATTTTACGGGATGATGTTGACTGGTTCTGTCCGGACAGAATGAGACCAAGCTGGTGAGGAATGAGCGATGTTTGAGCTGCAGAGAGCCTTCAAAAGTAAGAAAACTCGGATTTTAACATTTTGCTCTTCTGTACAAAAAGCTCTTTGTGTCAACGCTGTGGTTGCTGCAGGTCAAAAAGGTTTATATCATCGGAAAGAGGAGACTCTGAGCTTTCATCTGATGTGTATATTGTCGGGACATGTGATTGTGGAGCATGAGCACATCTGGCTGTAATGTGTTTGGAAAGTGGTCACGTCCCGCCGGGCCGTGGGAGCGGTACGGGGTTAAAAATGCTGTTCTTAAATATATATATATATTTTAAATTGGAAGTATATTTTGAGTGAAATCAATCTTTCAAACTACGTCGCGCACCCGAACTACAAGCCGTGCAGTTATACAGCCGTAGAAGACGAGTACAGCCCTCTACGTGCAGCCCTGTACGTGCGGTCAGAGCCGGCCTAGGCATAGGCAGTATAGGCAAATGCTAAGGGCGCCGACATCCACGGGGGGCGCCACAAGCTTGCGAGGCTAACTGACATGTATTCAGGCAAGTATTTATCAACAAGCGCCGATGCAGTTTCTCTACCTTTAGCAGCAAAGACGTTACGTTAGCGTCTTAGCTGCTAACGTTCGCAACAAAGACGTTACG